CCCTACTTACAGTTCAATTTTCAATGAATGGCTCAAATTAGTGCAAAATGCACACAGGAACAAAAGTCCTAAAGATAAACCCAATTCTTCCTGAGGGATTTCAAAGACCTGTATTGTTTGCTAGGGCCGCGGAAGAGAGATGCTCTTTCTGACGCAGTCTTCTCTTTGAACAGCTTCCTAAACAGCAGCAAAGCAGCAGGAGGCTTTGCGTCATTAAAGGCCCTGTATTTGATGGTTGTTGAGCCTACTGTGCACAGTGACTTACTAAAAAGACACACTACAGAAAAGGTCAGTAGCAGCAATATTTATTCCAGTTGTGAAATTCTGCAACAGAATGGAAAATGGGTTTAAGAAATCAAAGAACTGGATCAGGTGTGACATGGATAATTATCAAGACAGCTGTCCTAGACGAATGCACCTTCCCCGCTAATGCAGGGGAACGATCCACTAGCAGCTGGACTGGCATTCCCAGGCATTAAATACTGCTGACTTCCCTCAGTAAAGATGTGGTCTGTATTTGCCTTCTGGTTTTTGAGCCCATAGGGAATGCAAACCCATCTGAAAGCTTTTCTCCCCAACCTGGAGAACTACAAAAATTTTTATTTGTTTTTTTTAATGCAGGCTCTGATTCTGTTGCAATTCCTAGTTATCAGCAGGCGGGGAGTGAAATGAAATCAAATATTTGGAAATTTATTGTAAATTGTGAGTTCACATCTGTGAATCCCCAATGGATGGATTTTGAAAGCGGCCATTGGTTCCTCTTTCCAGGAGATAACTATGAATATTCAAAATAGAGTCCTGGAATCATATAGTTGATTTTGTTTTCATTTATGAGAATTTATGAGAAGTGGATAGAAATGGTTACACAAGAATGCGAAGGCTGAAAAAAGGAAGAGGGAATGAAGTTGTTGAAGAAAAAGCCCAAGGAGTCTGGCTGATGTGCATCACCAGAGGGCAAGTTAAGCTTAGATTATCCCTGATGTTGCATTAACCTGAGCTCAGACTCATTTTCCCTTTTGCAAACTCTGGGGTAGAATTCACCCCCGCAATGGCATATCCCAGGACAGGGCTCTCTGCAGAGCTCTGCACACTAGTGCCTGTCCAAGTAGCTCACTTGCTCCACCACCGCAGGATCCACCACTTTCTCACAAATGTAAAATTTGTACTCGCCACACTGTGCAGCATCTATGTTTGCACCTTGAAGCCACACACAGTCTAGGGAAGGACTTGAGCTGGCTCGTTGGATCTGAAACCTGTGAAAAAAATAACAGAGCTATTCATCATCCCATGGAAAAAGTCACAGGCTGGTACAATAAATCCCAACCGCTGCTACCCATTTGCCCCACAATAGCATGCAAGCTCTCTGACGGGGGCTTCCCTAGGTTGATATGTGAGTGAGCGATGGGCAACCTGTCTGCTGGCAAGCAGGCGGGGGGACGGGCAATTACGGAGAGGCAGTCAAAGGTTGTTGCTTCTGGCTCACGACAAATATGCCTGGATGTACACTGCTCCTATCTGTGTAGCCACTTACAGATCAGGGGAGAAAGCTGATCCATCCTCCCACAGCCAGGGCCCCTCGGCTCCATTGCGAGACAGCCCGATCCAGAAAGAGTAAGAACTGTAAAACTGTGATGATCGCATTGCGAAGTCCTGTACGGAAATAAACGCAAAGCCCGTGAATCACATCCCTGCTTCAGTCATATTGGCCTATGATTTGGGAAAGGAGAGAGGCAGATGAAGGCGAGCTGCTCACACCTGTATGTAACAGACTTCGTTTTGCAAGTGAATCTAGGTGGTCAGTGCTGTTCTGGAGACAAGGAAAACGATCCTGCTGAGACCTTTCGCTAGCTCTCAGCTAAAAGGACAGTTGAGAAAACCGGAGGCTGTACATTAGCTGGGTAATGGGTACAAGCTAATGACTTCCTTCCAACACCCGGGTTGCAAAACCAGGCAGGAAAAAGCCTTTGCATCATTTGCTATCATTGTACACAGGAAATTCAAAAATACAGACAATAAAACCACAGAATTCAATCCCACTGCCATTAAGGGTCAGGGTAGAAATCCTTTTACAGCAAAGAGCTCTTCTGTCTGTGCTTTATCTGCTGCTTCATCTACAACTTAGGAGTCAGAAAAAGACATGGATGTTCTTCTGCTCATGTGGGAGAGGAGGCCAGGGAGCAGGCCAGGCCAGCGAGCTTTCTAGTCATGGACAGCAAGAAGCTGAAGGCCAGGCTTCTGATGTTTGCTAAACAGTCTGCTTCAGCAAGACAACAAAAGAATTGCCAACCAGTACTAGCTAAGTTATATTTGCCCTGAGGTAGGATGAGGATCCTGATGTAGACCCACACTGGCGTGTCTCAGTTAACTCCCTTGAAGTCAGCAGAGATGCACCAGGGAGGGTGCATCCACAGTACAGGTAGAGGGGCTCCAAAGGGGCAGGGACAGTTTTTGCCACTTGGCCCAGCACACGCATGCCATAGCATACTGCACCACTGGAAGGATGGCATGGCTGTTCAGGCCACAGTAAAATGCAGAGTGTTTAATTAGAGAGAGAGAAAAAAATAATCTTTACCAGCTCTTCCTTACTCTCTATCTTAAGAAGTCCGGATTCCAGAGCAGAGCACTGAGCCTTGCTGTCTTGCCAAGTTTTCCATTCCTTTGAAAAATGGTAGCAGTTCTCCCCATACTGTAGCCAGTTCTCTGGACAAGGAATACATTTATGTCCTTGAAAACAAAAGAGCACCTGATGAGGTTTGTCAATGACGGCAGTCTCTAGTGGCCTAGTGGATCCCTGAAGGATCACTAAGAGCAGCGCACAGCCTCTCTGTCACAGAGGAGCAACAATTCCTCCTTCATTCTGCAGCTAAATTCATGTCTTCATTGGAGACTTAATAATCCCAGTTGCCAAAAGACCAGAAAAACATTTCTAAATGAAAATCAGAGAAACAAAGAATAAAGATTTTTTTTTAATCCTACCAGCAAACCTGGAGGGTGCCAGTAAAATGCAAATAGAAGAAATTTTAGAAGGTTGAGCCATGTTCACAGAGACATGGATCTAGGTGGATGTAAAAGGAAACACAGACTTTCAGTCACATGGGTATGTCCCTATTCATGTGAACTTTTAACTTCTTGTTAACATCAGGGCCAGCTCTTCCCTGCTATATGCTTTACAATGAAATTTATGCTTAAACTTCTCTGGTAGCATTTCATATTTGCTATGCATTCAGTGTGCAGGCATCAGATAGTGGTGGCCAGCCAAAGTGAAAGATGATGAGCTCATTGCTCTTAAAGAAACATCTTTCTGACAGCTGCACTTTTGACTCTTTCTGCCACATTATTCTGTTAGCTGCCTCTTGGGAACCAGAGTAATACTGAAGCCAGAAAGAACTCAAGATGTTGGATTTTTCTTTCCCTCTTGTGCCATTTGGGGAACTCCATTTCTAACCGGAAACTGAAATTATTGCAAGCAGCAAAAAGACCTGTCAAACAAAATATTTTGGACATCTCTGGACACTGGGTCCCAACTATAGACTGAATCTTGTTTGTTCCTCTACAGTTCACAGGACCATTTTATATTGTAACAAATCAGTGCCAGCTGGGAATGCCAGCACTTAATGCTGGATGGCAATAGACAGCACAGCACGGTGCATTTGACTCTTACAAGTAGCTTCTGGTTTGTGCTAAACTCAAATGTAGACATTTACATAGATAATAACCTTGCCACTCTCTCACAAGATTTGAATTTACTATGATTCTCTTCCCTCTGCTATATGGTAATCTAGTATATTCAGCTCACCTATCACTAAAATTTCACACCATTATTTTGCACAAGAAACAACAAATGCCCTCAGCTTATAGTCTGTAAACTGTTAAAGCCAGTGATGACAATCCCATTTGGTAGAAAGAAGTAGTATTTACACTTCTGCATCCAGCAGTGCATAACAGAATGAAGCTGTCCTGAGGAGTCAAAGCATTCCAAACAATTAAAGCCAGTAGGAATTTTCCATCAATTTTTTTTTACTGTAATTCAGTGAAACTGGCTGTGAAAGAAGGAATGGTAATATCAATTCATTTACTAATGAGAAAAACACTTTAAAAAAAAAAGTGTCATCATCATGGTATTTTTTGAATTAAAATGTTTGGTTTAGGGTATAAAGCAGCTCAAAAAATGACCAAAATGAAAGTGCAGCCTTTTGATTGACTCGGTTGAAATTTGTTTTTAAATTAAACAATTCAGGGCAATTTTAGAGATTTTTTTTTTCCTTCCAATATGGGTGGTGATAGAAAAAAAATCAATCTGTAGCTACCATAATGCTATGGAACCACAATCTTCATACCACTATGTACCTCTGGAGGTGGCAAGTTGCTTTACAGTCTCTGTCAAGTTCAAATTCTGAGCCTGGAGGAGCTCCAGCTTCTGGTTGAGGCTTTCCATAATTGCCTTTTGCAGGGTGAAGTTTTCATCCCTTTCATGCACAAGGTGGCAGACCAGGATGACTTGAAACACAACAAAACAAGAATGAAATTGTTCCATTAATATTAAAGCTAAACCTCTCGATGCAACCTGAATAAACTTACCAAAGATGCACATACATGACTGAATATACTTGACCTACATAGCTTACACACACCTATGAGCAAGGCCTAATACACGCCAGTTTCAAAGACTGGAAGATCTATTGAGTGGGTAAACTCTTCCAGCACAGGACACTTTTTTGCATCATTAATCCCTTATGCTAATCTTTTTCCTTAACTAATTTCCTAGACTTTTAGTTGCTCATACTGAACTCTGAGCACCCTTTCCGTGACCATACTTACACCTGGCAGCCAAGACTCCTGCAGCTGCCACTGAACTTAGGCAGAAGACCCCAAGCGCCACTGTAGTCAGTCGCCAACAGGAAGATGGACTGGGGGAGCCTGGGACAGACAAAAAGAAGGAAAGCAGCAAGAACAGGAACCTCTCATCTTCGTATTTGCAGCTCCTACACAGCACAAGACAACATGACCAGTAGTCTGCCCAGTGAATTGCTGAGTTTCAGACCAGTATGTGGTATTACATTATAAAAATCATCCCATCATTTATTTGTCTGTGGACAGTCCTCCTTAGGAGCTGGGGGCTGGGAAGTGAGCAAGCCATGGAGACTAGCTTATCCAGGGGCTTTTAAGAGAAAATTAATTGGACAAATAAAGCTGAACAGCACAAAACTTCACATGTGGGGAAAGAACATCAAGCAAGTATTTGTGCTTAAATGGCTGAAATTTTCACATGCAGCCAGGTATTGGGGTATTTTTACTTTTGAATGCCTAATGTGCCAAATCAGGAATTAATTCGCCTTTTCAGAAAATAACCTCAGAAACAGTCACCAATGAAAGCCAGGCCTCTGCAAAACAACCTGAAATTAGGGCATAGAGGTGTGAACAAGACCACATACCTGCAGTTGCACAGAAACAGTCTCACACCTGGAAATGCACACACACATTCTTGCAATGTGGGGAAATGCAAGCACCTGTGTGAATTTACACCATCCCAAAACACAGGGGAAAGGATTGCTTCCAATTTATGACTTTTGTGTTCTTTTACTAGACTCCAGTACAAAATTTCAGTGGGAATACTAATATTATGTTGAAGTCACCAACAGAAATAACTGGCATGCCAACCTGTGGTATTTCTGCCTTTCATTCCCTGAGTTCCCTAACCCTTTAACCAAAGAGTTGAGAAGGACCTTACTAGGTTTCCAGGAGTTCAGCTTCAGCGTCCAAGTCTAAAACTCAAGGACCCCTCAAAAAGTGAGAACAATATAATGACTGGCTACGCAATAAGG